ACCTAAAAGAAAATATATAGGATTACAAAGAAATGATATTGAAACAAGTATGTATTTTTTTCCATCCAATTTCACAGATCCCTCAAAATCTATCCATGGACATCCTCAGAACTCCAATTCTAGAGAGATAGATGGAAGAAAAACTGCAAGCAAGATATTCTAAGGAAATCTAAAAATCTCTACATAATATCATGCCAAATATGTAGACAAATTCATCAACCAGGATACTATGTCCTGAAATTCAAGGTCTGAATCCTTCCTGTTCAATGGAGGCCATGTTTTCAGCCAGAGAATATTAACACTGATGTTAGAGATAAAGGTGCAATTTAATAATATTAATCTCTATGTAGTTAAAGATCTTCAAAGATTGCTTCATTGTGAGATGTTATGTAGCCCTACCAGAAAACTCTCTTTTATGAATTCCTACTTTTAAAAAATAGGTTAAAAAATAGTCTGAAAACATCTACCACTAGATAATTTTAAGTTTGTTTGTTGATTTGTGGAAATAGGGCAATAATAACTAAATCCATGTGCCCCAGCTTGGCCATTATATTGCTATTCAGTTTACTTCCTTGGACCTCACTTTGTATATCTATAAAATGAGGTCAGACTACATGATCTCAAAATCCTCTTTCAATTATATTCTATGTTCATATGACATGGTGAGGTTGTTTAATTTTCCTTAGCCTGAATTTGCTCATCTTTAAAATGAAAAGTTGGGCTCTTCCAAGTCCAAATCTAAGGTCCTATGAATGATACCTCATGTTTAAATATGCTTTAAGATTGATTTATAAATCACTTTTCTAAGAATAACCCTATGATAGATGTAATTTAAATACTATGATTCCCATTAACAGATGAAGAAACAAAAGATTCAGAGAGATTAAATGATTTGCCCATGTTAGGATACTGTGACAAAAGGGATTGTAATCTTGGTTGTCTTGATTTCAAATTCAGTGCTCTTTTCACTCTATATGTTGCCTCATATAGAATCTTAGAATCTTCATCTTTATTTGCATATCACATATAATATATTTTCAAATTCCTTATTTTCATAGCCTAACTATTACTGATGTATTTTGACCAAAAATGTATCCCAAATTTTAATGAATAAATAACTACCATTGAAATTCTAAACAGTTAAGAGAGTATCATCTTACCATATTTTATTAAGATTTTGATGGTCATTTTACTGATGAACTATATTTTTGCAGTCACCTCACTGATTATCAAGAATATATTAATTTTAACAGGATTTAAAGAATTATCTATGCTTAATAGTGATAGAACAGTTCAAAAATCTTACTAACTGATATGTATGTAATATTAAAGAAATGTAGATGATAGATGATAAACAAAAATAAGTAGATAGATGGATGGATCGATAAATATAAATAGATAGATATATGGATATAGCATTTTTAAGTGCTTACTCTGTGCAAAGCACTCTGCTAAGAGCAGGAGATGCAAATACAAGGGAACAAACAAGATCCTGACCTCTAGGATTTTACATTGATATGAGAGGGGGATAACACAAAGTAGAACTGAAAGAGTAAAGTTGAAGAAGATGAGCACTGAGGAGGGCTGAAGAGGCATAGTGAAGAGATATCCAGGAAGTATAGAGTTAATTACTAGCAAGATGAGGGCCAAAGGAATCAGACAGAAGAATTCAAGGTTACATGAGAGTCAGGATGTGAAGTAAGGACGATGGTCAGCTCATAGGCAGCATGGCTGAGGATATGGATGGGAAATGGTATTTATGTTATTATCACAAAGTTATAGAACCTTAGAACTGAAGACTTTAGAAGTTCTCTAGTTCAACTCTTCCTTGTAGCATGAACATTCTAGTAAATGCATCACACATATATACACACAAATATGTATTTATATATGCATACATATGTATGTGTGTATATGTGTATATCTCTTTTCTTCAGAATCAAAACAATCACAAGACTTACATAAGCAGAATTCTAACTTTTCACACACATACTCCCTAATTTACTAAGAAGCAAATTCAAAATAAAGTTGTTATCGGAGATTTGTTGAACTTGGGGAAAGTATAGGGAGACAACGTCTAAGGACATAGTGCAGATTCTATTCATTCTTCTGTATTTTCTATAGTTATAGTGCTGTACAATTAGAAGAAGGTTTTCTAAATTTTTATAATCAAACATTTGAACACCTACTTTGTGCAAGGCATTATAAGGTCCTAAAGCACCTTCAGAGTCATTAAAGAAAGATTATATTCAGTTCATTTCAGGTTGACAAGTGTAATGTACTGTATTCTTTTTTCCCCTCACATTTGGAGAATATTCAATTAGCCAGGTCTAATAAACTCTTCTGAATAAATGGGAGTTTAGGGCATATGTGTGCATGCAAGAGAAAATTTGAGAGAGAAAAGGTGTCACAGCTGATTTGGATATGGCTGATTTTATTGAAATTAGTCAAAATTAAAAACAGGAAAAGAAGCCCATTATAGTCCTGGAAGCTGTGGGTTTTATGAAAAAGAGAATTTCTATTCAGTAATGTTTCTGTTTTAAATTAAAAGTTTTCTTTTGCCTCCCTTTTTTATTTAAACAAAACAAGAAACTTCTATTTGCACTAAGCTCCTCATGTAAATAAATTAATTCTCTACTGAATTCAGCCACCTATGAAAGTACATATCTTTTTTATTTTCAGTGCATTTGGCCATCTGTAGCTGTGACAGGATACGTCTGCAAGCATTTTGCTAAATTTAAATATTCATTGACATTTGAAGTAAGTATGTAAAGGCCATAGAAAAAGGGAGGAAAGAAAGACCTGTGTGCAAAGCATGCTACTAAGGGTAAAAGTTTAATTTACAAATGAGGGACTAGTAAATGTTTCACTCTTTGAAAAATATTTAAAGCAAGGCCCTAAAATCATAAGATTCTTTGAATCTTAGTTCCAGCACTTTGCATTCAGTCATGGACTTGATGAATCACTTTACCTCTGGAACCTCTTTTCTCGTCTATAACTATTTAATGCACACAATTGTGGGAGAGAAATACTTCATACACCTTTAAGTGGTATCTGTAAAATATGGGCTGGTCTTCTCATTCTTTTTCTTTTTCTTTTTTCTTTTTGGCTAGGCAAAGGGATTAAGTGACTTGCCCAGGGTCGTGCAGCTAGTAAGTGTTATGTGTCTGAGGGATTTGAACTTAGGTCCTCCTGAATCCAGGGCTGGTGCTCTATCCACTGCACCACCTAGCTGCCCTGGTCTTTTCATTCTTCAAAAATGGAAAATAATTGCATCCAGGAGTCTGTTGGAGCCAGCTCTAACTGGCTTCAGAGAGACAATTGTTAATTTTTCCTTCTGAACATTTATACTTCATAAAATGGAAAATATCTCTAAATCAGTGATTGGTTAGTTGATTATTCTGATTGTCTAGATTTGAGAAAGTTTTAATGAAACTTAAAAATGTGTTTAAAAACACACGGAAAAAATTTTATACATTTAAAAAAAATTTTCTGGAGAGCCTGTTTTAAGAACTTTTTTAGCAGCTCACCCCTTGGTTGATCCCTTTTCTGGCAATTAATACTAAGGGAAATAGAGAGGTAGATGAAGAAAAAGAAAGAAAAGGAGAGGGACAAGAATGGTGTGGAAATGAAATAACAAATGAGTAGAATTAATTGGTCGTCTACAGGCAATTGGGAATGAGAAACCTTTACAATTTGAATTTGTATTTCATTTGGAAGACTGGAACATCTTCATCTCAAATTGTTTCATGGACCACTCCATAACAAACATTTCCCTAACGAAGTGATCAGTCTGGTTATGATATATTATGAAATAAAAATTATGAGAAAAAAATAAAAGAAAATCAGAATAGAAAAAATGACAGTTTCCATTAAAATGAATTTAATTATCATCATTTGATGCTAGTTTTATTTGAACATGAACCACATTGCAGTAAAGCATAGAATGAATTTTAATTTTTTAAAGAGTGTTTGGTTTGAGGAAGAATTGAATTTACCATTCAGATTTTAGTCAATATTTCCATTTAAAAGTAATCAAATAAGGTATTATTTGAATTTTAAAGCTAGCAGAAATACCTTCATTTTTATTTCACTTATTATAAGAAACACATTAGTATCTACCTTTGCCTTTACTGATACTATGTGTTCGTTTTGTTCAATAAATGAGGTAACAACTACCACATTGGACTTCTTTATATTTTCAAAATAAATTTCTCTAAAATGTACATTTGACACAATATATATATATATATGTATATATATATGTATATATATATATGTATATATATGTATATATATGTATATATGTATATATATGTATATATATGTATATATATACATATATATACATATATATACATATATATATATATATATATATATATATATATATATATATATATATATATATATATATATATAGAGAGAGAGAGAGAGAGAGAGAGAGAGAGAGAGAGAGAGAGGAATGTAAAGATTTAAAAAACACATTAGAACAGCAATGGTTTGAAATGTGTCCTTTTATCTACATTTCACTAATGGAAGTTAGCTGTAGAAGTTGACCTTTCTTTCCAAAAGGAAAATGCATTAGACTATACCATAAACCATGTCCAGTTTTAGGGTAAGGAGGAATGCCAAATTCTTCTAAAGAGGGAACTGAAGCACCCCCATTATCAGTGTTAACAGGAGTGCCTATTAATATACATTTGAAGTACAACTTGGAACACCTTCCATTGATCTTTTTAATGATTTTTTAATTAGAAGAAACATTTCTGAGAGCTGGGTGGATGCTTTATTGTATTGTAGAAAAAAACTTTTTTTTCCTGATAGCATACTTTCTAACCTAGAGGATTAAAAATAGAGAAGTTAAAAAATACAACACAACACAATAAGCAGACTCATTGTTATCATTGAATATTTCTGCTTTTTGGCTTTAAATAAAGATTACAATTTGCTTAAACATCAATCTAGATCCAGGAAAAACAAATAAAAAGATCACTCACCAGTCCTTGTATAAAGAAAGCTTCCCTTATTTATAATTAGCTCTCTAATTGACTCTTGGAATTTAGGATCTGACTACTACTGTTCTAGTATCTATGTTGATGGCTTTGGTATGTAGAACATTCCCTGCTGAACTTGGCCCTAAAATCATAAAGAGCCTTCCATACACCTCAGTGCTATGAAGATAACAATGACAGAGAAAAGAACATTAATAGATTTCTTTCATTTTATTTTTTTTAAATCCATAAATTTCCAGTTTCTTTTTTTGATGAATTATATTTCAATGTATCTTAGTAGTAAGAAATACCCAATAAGAATACTCAATAAACGTAAATACCCAATAAAAATGAGGAACTACAACCAGTTAGATAGGATGCCCTCATGCTTCTGAATCTCAAATGTGACATCCCCCCCCCCATTCTTACATAGTTTTCATTAGCTCAGAGGGAGGCATTTCCCTGTTCTGTCAGTTCCTGGCCACTTCTCCAGGGTTGTATGCCTCCTGAGTCTTATTACATGTTTTTTCTATAAGAGTGGACACTCCATTAAGTACTGATGATGTTAAGTGAGAATGAGAGCTTTAATGAAACTTCTGTTGATGGCAGCTGGTCTACTTAGGAGGAATCTGGATCTGATCCTTTGATGTAGATATAGACTGTTCAAGGTCTGAGGAAAGCAATGGAAACGTACTTTTCATCATACTCTATCTTAATACTTTTCTTTCCTCAGTTTTACTTCAAAAGAAATGAAATGCAAAACTCATTGCTAAAAATACTATTTATTTCAACCATTTGTTGGTTGACACGTGAGTATCCATAGGCCCATTAAAGAAACTACCATGCTACTTGAATTTTTATTCATTGGCAAATTATTCTTCACAAGGAATTTTTGGAATAGATAAAAGACTACATCATTCAGTGCTATTGGCTCCAAAAGAGTCACTAGTGGAGTAAGAATTAGAAATTTGCTTTCCCACTTGTGACCTTAAGACCTTGACATCACCATTTTAATAAGCTAGACAGTTTAGTTTTTCTAAGTGGTATCTGGCCTTTAACATGCAAGGCATGCAAAGAAGTACTCTAGGACTACATCTCACATGCACACACTGAACTCAACACAAGGCAAATGTCAATTATTAAACCATATATCTTTGGCTCATGTTCTTATCAAACAAAATTATTGTGGACACCCTAGCTAAAACAGTTCTTTTATCTTGCTTGTTCAGTCTATTTAGGCATCCAGAATAAAATGCAACCACCTCCACAAGCGAGATGTGCACTTCTAATCAAAGGGAGAGTTTTCTTGTTTTGTTTCCTAAGTTGAAGAGGCAATCACAAGTCTTTCTGCTCAATTTTCATTCTGATTTAGGAAAATGAAGAATATAAGTCCTCTTGAACATCTTTATTTTTATAGAAATTATTCTGCTTCCTTTCAAAAATCACATCAAATTAGGAAAATAAAACTCATCCAAATGTACCTGACCAATGAAAGGTAAGTACTGTTGGTTTCCATTTAAAATATATGACATTAAAAATGAATACTGTATAATTACTGAAAGTAGCCATGCCACAAATAAAAACCTGTTTCTCATCTTTTGGTTAATTAAAAAAAAACACAACTTTTGGCATTTCTGGTTATTAGATATTCTATAAAACAAAGTACCAGTAATAGTTCCTCAGCTATCTACAACATGGCCAGATATTTGTCCCCAAAACAGAGTGATTGATGTTCTTTTACTCCATTTCCTTCTTTTTGGTCTTCCACCTTCTTTGATAGCGATAGCCCAATTTTCATGAAATCTTTTTCTTATAAAGTTACCATTTAATCATCTGATAGAAAAATAATCACTTCAGTGAGTCAAATCCCAAGTAATGTAAGCAGATCAAGGTTGCTTGATAACTACAACACAGGCACCTGCTCTTCCAATGTTTAAGGAAGCCATCTGTTGAGAGAAGATGAAAAATAACTTAATGTAGGATGCTGGAGTTATTGTAGAAAATTATTAAGATGGCGATACTTAAAAAGGCTCTGGATTAGTGAACTAGGTTTCTTTTTCATATTTAAGCTAGAAACAGTACAATACAAGTTGACCTGACACACTGATTCAAGGTGATAGAAATGAGAGTTATGGGATGTATCTCTGGGGAAAAAAAAATATAATTCCAGACCTGCCAGGTCAAGGAGAAAATGTTTCAAGCAGGAAAAAAGATTCAACTATTGTTTAGTCACAATCAGGATATCACAAAACTTAGTAGCTTCTACATTAAAGGGTTGGAGGAATTGCAATATGATATTCTGGAAGGCAGAAGAGCTAGGATTATAACCAACAATCACCTACTCAGCAAAAGTGAGTATAATCCTTCAGGGGAAAAATGGATATTCAATGAAAGAAAGGACTTTCAAGCCTTCCTGACAAAAAGACCAGAGTTGGCTTTCAGAAATAAGACTTCAGAAAAGTATGACAAAGGTAAACATGAAAGATAAATCATAAGGTACTCAATAAGGTCAAACTGCTTATATTTCTACATGGGAAGATTATCTTGTAACTCCCAATAACTTTTTTCATTATTAGGGCAGTTAAAAGAAATATACATAGACAGAGGACATAGGTGTGAGTTCAATATGGTGGAGTGATGTCTAAAAAAATAAAATTAAGGGATAAGAAAGAGGAATGTACTGGGAAAAAGGAAAAGGGAGAGGTAGAATGGGGTAAATTATCTCACCAAAAAAAGAGGTATAAATGGACTTTGTAGAGTAGAGGGGAAATAAGGGAGGGGAGAAGAGTGCTTGAACCTTAACCTTATCAGAACTGGCTCAAACTGGAAATAACATACATACCCACTGCCCTACAGGAAAGTAAAATGAGGAGGGGAAAAGAAAAGGTAGGATGCTAATAGAAGGGAGGGCAGATTGGGGGAAGTGGTAATCAGAAGCAAATCACTCTTGAGGATGGACAGATTGAAAGAGGAAAAAGAGAGAAAGAGAGAGAGAGAGAGAGAGAGAGAGAGAGAGAGAGAGAGAGAGAGAGAGAGAGAGAGAGAGAGAGAGAGATAAAAGGGGAAATTGGATGGAGAGAAATGAAAATAATGTGCAGAACCAGGAGAATATTGTAGTAGTAGCAATACTGTACTGTGATCAGCTGTGAATGACTTAATTATTCTCAGCAATACAATGATCCAAGTCAGTTCTGAAGGACTTATGATGAAAAATGCTGTCCATCTCCAGAGAAAGATTTGATGGAACATGAATGCAGATTGAAGCATACTTTTTTCTTCTTTTTTTGGTCTGCCTTTTCTTACATAACATGACTAATATGGAAATGTTTTGCATGACTCCATATGTATTGCCTATATCAAATTGATTGTCTTCCTTCTCAATGAGACAGAATTTGGAACTTAAAATTTTAGAAAAAGAATGATAAAAATTGTTTTTACATGTAATTGGGGAAAATAAAACAATACAAGAGAATAGTGAGTTATAGAGCGAGAATTAAAGAATCACAAATGCAAATTTCAAGTCTACTTTTAGGGGATTAATAGGTAAAATTTTGTTTAAAAGAATCACTGAAAATCACATTTTAAAATTTAAAACTAATACATAGAATTATTTTAAGTAGTCTTAGAATCACAGGTAAATTCCTTTATTTGGAATTCAGAGCTCTTAAAAACCTGGAATCTATTTTTTTCAGTCTTCTTGCACTTTAATCCTCTCCATGCACTCTACAATCCAGCCACAGTCGTCTCACATGTGACTCTATGCTTGGCATTGTTTGTCCCTCACCTTATTACACTCTCTTTCCTTTTTGGAATCCTTGGTTTCCTTCAAGACTCAATTCAAATGCCATTTTCTGCAGCAGGCTTTATCAGATTACCTAGTTGCTAGTGCCTTCCCTTCATACAAAGTGCTTTATTTCTCCTTTGTACATATCTGGTATATACTAATAAAGCAACCTTTTCCTATCATGGATTTTTTGGCAGTCTGGCGAAGCCTATGGACTCCTCAGAGTAATGAGCATTTTAGTTTGGTTTAGTTTAGTTTAGTTTAACTTTGTTTGGAATTGTAATTGAAGGAAATGCAAAATTTTTGATAATGCAAAATTTTTTTTAAGTTTTTTTTTTCCTTTTCAAGGTCATGGACCCCTTCAACTCTGGAGACCCTGGGTTAAAAACCCTTGCCACTTAGGTACATTTGGTATCTTCCATTAGAATGTAAGCTCCTTTAGGAGGGGGGTTCCTTTCTTCTTGTAGTTTTATCCTCAGTGATTAATATAATACCTGTGAAATATTAGGCACTTAATAAATGCTTATTGGCTGATTTTCAAGAATCATGTTGATTTAGCATTTTTCACATTGGCATATTTTTTTTATTATTCCTTAGTGAAATGAAGCTAACATATATGGAGCGACTGGATATATGCATAGAGTATATTTATATCTCTATACAGAATACTTCTCTTACAATACTGCCACTGTGGTATAGGAAGTGATAGCTTTGGGACAACTATCCATGAATTTATTCACTTGAAGTACACTTCAGGTGAAATAGCTATTATGCTTATTGGGATAATTTTGAAGATAGACCATTATACTGTATTAAAAATGTGCTATTCATTCAGTCTAGTCTGAGACACACAATGGAATAACTTCAAGATTTTGTCATAAATAGGCAATAGCTAAAATTGCTATTGACCTTATTAAAATTAAAAAATCATAGTACCTTATTAAAATCCATCTTATGACAATAACTGAGGAAAGAGCTCAGAGTTTTCTTAATAATGAAGGATATGAACATGGTTAGAAATATATTAAAAAGAAAATGTTTTACTTAGATTTTAATGAAACTTTATGCCTTAGATGCTAGATCACGTTATAGTAATGTGAGATTTTGGCATCCATAAACTTTTCTTCATCATGGATCTTTGGGAATAATTAGTGGATGCAAGACAATGGAAAAATAAAGTCCAAAGATTCAAATTATATTCTTTGTCAACCAAACAGTGACAACAAAATAATGACCCAGAGTCATATAATGATTTTTTTTATAACCAATAGTGAAAGGGATCCATTTCTTTAACCATCATTAACCACCAAATGATTAGGAAAATAGATGTTTTTTCCTCACCTCATTTTGCATTAAAGAAAAAGTCCCTACCCGTGTAGTTTCCTGGTTTCCTCTTACTCCCCTTTTGTTAGGTTATCCTTTATTTGCCTAATATCATGAAATGGCTGTCCACCTATCTAACTTCTAGAGATTCCATGCAAATTGTTCTGTTTTAGACAACATAGAGTAAATATGCAATCATCTAGTCATAAGGGAATGATTTTGGAGACAGTTGCCTTTCTCACATTCTACACCATTTACCTCCCTGAAAGTCTGGGGAAATTCCGGGGTACAAATCCAAACCATTTCTTTCACTATTAGTTTCCCCCCCAAAATCCTATGCCATGTAATTAATGGTAGAGTAACTATATAGAACATAACCATGCAGTTGTTCCACAAACACACACACACACCTTTATCTATCTGTTTGTTTGTTCATTTATTTATTAGTCTTTAACATTCATCTAAATTTTTTTTGAATTACAAATTCTCTCCTTTCCTCCTGCCCCTCTTCTACCAATGGAGAAGGCAAGCAATATTTCAATTATATATGTAAAGTAACAAAAAATAAATTTCCATATTAGCTATCTAGTAACAAAAATAAATAAATAAAAGTGAGAAACATGAAGAAAGTGAAAAAAAGTATGCTTCCATCTACACTCAGTTCATCAGTTCTCTCTTTGGAGGTGGACAGCATTTTTTCATTAAACCATGGAGTTTTTAAAGCCATGAGTAGGGATAGATGTGGACCAGTATTGTTCCTGGACACCTCAAGCTGTACTATGTCTTTCACTCCCTCTTCACCTGATAATTGGACTTTGCCTCTGGAACCATCTTGGGCTTTGATAGTCCAGCTTTTGCCTTATCTTACTCCATTCCAGACCTTTGCTCACATTTCTTGGACATGTCCAACCAACCATGCCACCACTTGCTTGCGTCCCCTCTCTGTCCCATTACCAGCTCCACTTTATGGGTTATCTACTCCCTTTAGATGTAAGTTCATTGATTGAAGGACTTTCATGACTGCTTTTCTTTGTATCTTCAGAATTTGGAACAGTTTGTGGCACATAGTAGGTGATAGGCAATCATTTATTCTGTAATAGTAAGCAGGTGAAAGTCCAGAGGCACCCATCAGTTTGAATGAGGCATCAAAGAAGTGTTTCCTTCTATGCCTTGGAGGATATATTGCATCCTTATTACAAATAGAAGAACTAAGGTAAATGTTAAATGTGAACATTTGCAATGTTATATCATCTCATTATGACAATCAGGCATTTGCTGTAGGATATACAAGGTAATCTTCATTCATTTATTCATTTTTTATTCTTAGTCATGGGAAGAATAGAAGAGAGGTTATTGGTGAGTGGCCCAGCCTCCTGAGAAATTCCCCACCTATTTTGTGGAGGTAATCCAAATCTGGCACTTTCAATGGATGGCAACAGTTGTAGAGAAAGGGAACAAGAATTAAGAAGTAAAACCTAAAAGTAATTTAACAGTTTTAAAAATAATTTTTAATGTACTAAAATAAAGTTTAAAAAAAACAATTTAAATGCTACTTAGCTGCCCACAATATGCTATATGAGCCAAAAGAGAATAATAAAATACAAAAGAGCAAAAGGCAGATTTTTATTTCAATTTTAGAAGAATGATATGTGTGATGGCTAGTGATTATGAATAAGTAATGAAGATTCTGTATTACATCATTTATATACCCATAAACTACACATTCATGGCCTTTCTTAATGTACATTTGTACAAATGGCACCTTTAAAATGTACTCTTAGCCAGAGTATTCACTTAGTTGGTCAACAATATTTATTCAGTAGTTATTACATATAGAACACAATTTTAGGAAAGTGAAAAATTCAGTTACAAGATTTTGCATTATACTGGGAAGCATGGGAAGAGACCATTAACATCATTTTTGTTTTACCTTATTTTAATTTTGGGGAGAGATAATTCTCTCAAAAATCATAATGAATCTTAGAGTATCTTAAGGTTCATTTCTTTCTCTCTCCCTATTGGGGCACCAGTTTCTGGATCCTCTTTTGGTTAACACAGAGAAGAGTGCTTTCTTACATAACTCCAAAGAGTCAGGCTTACACATCACAGAAGAATAAGATCTTTGCTGTGCAAATCCATTTTGCCGTATGGGACAGGTGCAAGCTCTGGGGCTACTGGCTGCTGGCTGCACTTCTGCCCATTGTGTCTTGGAATTAATCTTAGGCTATGCCCAAGCTTCATGACCACACAGAATAGACAGACCTAGGTAGGAAGGGATGTCCAGTATCTCTAATGTGAAGTAAGCCTATGAAGAGGTTGCTTTTTGGTTACTACTTTATTTTCTGCATATTTCTAAGGAGCTAGTAGTCATTTTTTTTTCCTGAGAAATTGTAAAGGTCAGTCACTACAGAGAATTTGTATGGAAAATGATCATAAATATTACAATTCAAGTACCTTCTTTCAGTTTATGCAAAGCCTTAGAATTAGAGTGCTTCCTAGAAACAGAAACTTCTATTAAGAAATGAGTTGAGATCTAGACAAATAATTACTCAAGAAAATAACTCAGTTTTCTATGAGAAAATAACAAATTACCATTATAGTAAAAAGGAAAATACAGTGCAAGGCTTCCATATTTTCTTTCCTGGGCATGGTGTAGACTTCTTTTCTCAAGAATTTTTGAAGAAAGACTTCTAACATTTTAGGTTAACCAATCTGACTCACCTGTGTCCATTCATTTGTTTGTGGGTCATAGGATTCCATAGTATTCAGGTAGGACTGTCCATCATACCCACCTACTGCATATAACCTGTCACCCAGTAGACAGACCCCAACAGCATCTCGAGGCATACTCAAAGGAGCCACCATGGTCCATGTGTCTGTTTTAGGGTCATATCTATAAAGCAAAGGGAAATTGAAAGTAAATTATTTGGTATATTCTTCATTATACCCCTATAAATGATTTATCTTCTGAGGGTATTTTTATGGAGAAAATTTTGCTTTAATAACTTCAATAATAAGAAAGATTAAAAGCTAATGACAGGTAAATATGTAATAATCTGGTTGTTTTGCTTGTTGAGAATTACATGATTTAGCTCTTAAAGAGACTTAAGAAAACAAATACTTTAACCTCATTTTACAGATGAGTAATCTTTCTTAATTTTTTTAAAGGTCTTTGGAATATTACCTAGAAAAGGAGCATTATTATTAGCATTACAACACTACTAAAATCTATTTTTAAAAGTCACAATTATCCTAAACACTAAATATATACTTAAAAAAACCCAACACTTTATTTTCCTGCATTTTAATGTAGTTTTTTAACTTTGAACTTGTATGCATAACTTTTGTTTTTATGTCACCATTATTATTAGATATATCTCTCCCCTTCTGTTATCCAAATAGCCTTCCCTTGTAACAACAACAACAAAAAAAATTACAAGGGAGGGGTGGGAAACAGTCAAAATATCAAGCAAATCTGATAACATATGCAGTACTCCACAATCATGGTTCCCCATGGATGCATCAAAGGGAGGGAAGTGTATTTTCTCATCTCTGGCAAAACTTGGTCATTGTAAACACACATTGAAATTGGTTATTTTATTTTTTATTTACATTGCTGTTGTCACTGTGTATATTGCTTCCTTGGTTCTATTTACCTTATGCATCTTCACATGCTTCTTTAATACAGTTCTTTAAAAAATTACATTGGATTCAGCACATATTACTTCAACCTTATCGGAAGTTAGGGCAATCCTTATTAATGGATAAGAAGATGTCCCAAACTTGGAACTGATAACATCACATTTTTGCACTTTATGGGTTGCAAAACACTTTCTTCATAGTAATTCTGTGAGGTAGCAACTACAAATATTATCTCCATTTTACCTGTAAAGAAACTAAAGTTCATAGATTTTGCTACTTGCTCAATATCAGCTACTAAGTTTCAGAGCAAAGATTGAACCTGGAATATTTCTTGACTTTAAATCTGATGCACTTTCCCTTATACCACGTCTCTGGAATATGAACATGTCATTTCCGAAATGGTATACAAGCACTTTGTATTTTTTGAATTTGAGATAACCTTTATAATGTATTTAAAGAATGATGGTTTGGCGGGGCTCTGATGTGGTACAACTGTCTTGAAGCTTAGACATGAGATAATTCACTTTGAATCACTGTGAATCAAATTTGTAAAGCATAGCTAGCAAATGTGAGACCTGCAAAAATAACTATCAAGACTGCCTTTTAATAACATTTATCCTTTGACTTGAAAGTGATGCCCAAAAGAACACGAATATGGGTCTTTGAATGGGCAATATAGAATGCACTATAATTTCACTGAAATTTTTTTTTCATGCTATTAGCAACAGATTTGGACTCTGGGAAACAACTTCCTTGGTATTCATGGCACATCTTGTTAGACTCTTAAGGCTATAAAAGGTTTGAAGATTTCTACAAGTTGAGGAGAGGGAGTTATTTGGTTACAATAAAATAGCTTCTTGGAAAAATGAAATGCAGACTATCTAAGCTATAATGAAGACGGAGGTTGGGGACATGAAATGTCATTCAGAACTGCCAGGAAACTTGAGCCACTAAGGGGTGATATAGTCTACTAGTATTACAATTTTGCCTAGCAATACCCCTAAGTAACTCAATGTTCAGATATGTAGCCGGGTTCATGTGAATCGACTTTAGATTTTCATAGCATTTATAGCTTGATGGACGAACCAGAGAGGAAAACTGTTTAACGTTTTTCTTGGCCGAGGTCAAAACCACCAGAGTGAGAAGGGTATGGTGGTGCTCAAATCCCATTTGGAAATTTCCTTACCTCCCAGTCCTATTTGCATGAAGTAGCAAGAGATATACTATTCTGTATTCTGAGGAACAAGTGAGTCTACTATAGTCCTAGTATTGCCATAGTTGTAGCATATAATTGTACAGCAGATTACAATCTGGTACTTTCTCCTTAGATTAAATCTGCAAAGGGAAAGGGGAGGAGGCCAGATAGTGTATTCTCTAGCACCTGTGCATTTCCTACCATTGATTTTCTGAGCTGTCAATCAGTACAGGTTGTCCTTTGGAACATATAACAACAAATTACAGAAATCCATGGCTGGACTGATGTTGACAGACAGCTCATTAAGCCAGTAACATTGGAGGAAAAAGAGTGAATACAATTCTGTAGGTCTGATAACCATTCCTAGAACCTCCCTTAGTAGAAAATTTCTGCCTTAAGACTTTGTCTGCAAATGTTACAGATGTAAAGAAGTTTAGCACTTTACTCCCAAATTGTGGGAACCATTCTTTAATTCACTTTTCATCCAACCACTTATTTATTAGCCTGAGAGTAATTTTCAACCATCAGAGACTAAGGTTATATTAGCCCACATAGTATCTTAGAGTTAGAAGAAACCTTAGGGGGGAAAAATCTAGTCCAACCCCTTCATTTTATAGGGGAGGAAAACTGAGACACAGTAATGAGGTGACTTTCCAGGGATGAGTTATTATTAACAAGGGTAAGGAAAGACTTGTTCATACATGCATACAGATATGTTGGTAAGGTTATCAGTGCCTGTATATACATGTAACACATATCTATATATAGACATAAACATCAGTCTAAATATATACATGACATGTACATATGTTCACAAGTATATGTACATACACATATACATATGCATATGTATAGGTTGTCAGAGGAAGGACTTTAATCCTGTACTTCCTCACTCCAAAACTACTCTGTCTCCTGTTCCAGGATAGATATATACTTTCTCACATTATTCAATTAACTCAATTCTTATCATACAGTTTTATGAAATGTAATCATTACTTTCAGCCAACAAATTATTTAACAAGATTTTTTTTTTTGGATGGGGGAATGAGGAGAAGGTTTCATATCAGTAGATGTTTGAATAGTAAAACATTTCTGAAGCTTTTGGCTACCCATTAGATTTGGCCTCAAGACATTCTAACACTGACACCTACCCCCTCTCTGCATTTTCAGTGGCAAATTAACAAAATAGAGCTTTGTTTTAAATGTCCTGGAATCATGAGCAGATATTATAGGTCCTTCATATTGTAAAAATTCCCAAGAATTTGTCTTTAAGTCCATCTACTTAATGTGCACAGCATTAGGCTGATAAGTGGAAAATTTTCTCAGTTACAGCAATTATTGAAGAAGCACTTTCCCCTTCCCTGCCTGTTACAGGTGCAAAGGAGCTGCAAAGGCCAGATCTTCTTGGCTGTAAATGACATCACTTCCATCTGTTAATGGCAATCATTAGAATGAGCTTGCTGTGAAGAGTTTTGAAAAGCATGTTGCTTTTTTAAACCTCATTGTTCCAAACTTTACACACCCCTAAAGGATTCCAAAAGATTTTTGTTCATTTTAGGTCTCCAAAGGAGTTGCTATGTGTTTCATTAACTGATTCACATTAAATGTAAGAATTCCTTTTAAATCAGGTTACTTAGAAGCTACCTCTAAACTGGCAAGCAACAAAGGGCTAAAATTATTTCCAAGAGAGGATTACGTGTGTGTGTGTGTGTGTGTGTGTGTGTGTGCGTGCGCATTTATGTGAAACATTCATGCATTAGCAATGATCTTAATAATCTATCCATTTTTGGCAAATAGGTTAAGCAGTCAACATCTTTTAACTGGGAAATTTTGAGGCATCCATATAGTTATAATGTGCCATAACCATTTATTTCAATGACATTTTTTGGAAATAATTGCTTCCATTTATTTTTGGTGAATATTTTTATTGAATATTTGGTGAATATTTTGGTGGATAAAGTTTTTATCTTTTAAAATAGTGTTTTATTTTGTCCCCCAGTTACATGTTAAGAAAATTTTTAGCATTCACTTGTATAAGATGGCGAGTTCCAAATTTTTTTTTCCCTCCTTCTCTTCCCTCTTCTGAAAATGGTAGTAGTTTGATATAGTTTTTACATATGCTATCATGAAAATATATTTCTATATTAATCACAGTTTTGAAAGAAGAAACAGATCAAAAGGTGAAAAACATGAGAAAGTATAAAGTAAGTGAAAAAAAAAACATATGCTTCAATCTGCACTCAGAGTCCATCAGTTCTTTATCCAGATATGGATAGAATTTTCCTTCTTGAATCCTTTATACTTGTCTTGGATCATTATGTTTCTGAGAAGAGCCGAGTCATTCATAGTTGATCATCACATAATGTTGCTGATATTTGTGTGCAGTGTTTTCCCAGTTCTGCTCATTTCACTTTGCATTAGTTCATACCGCTCTTTCCAAGTTTTTCTGAAATCTGCCTGTTCATCATTTCTTGTCGCACAATAGTATTTCATTATATTCATATACCACAGCTTGTTCAGCCATTTCCCAATTGATGGGCATCCCTTAATTTTCCAATATTTCGCCACCACAAAAACGGCTGCTATAAAGTTTTTAAGTAGGAGAAAAAAGTGCCTTCAGCATTATTGTTTAGAGACAATATTTCTGCTTCCTATATTGGCAGAGAGGTGCAGTATGGTGAAAAATTGTCTAATGACACATTTTGCTGGTGCAGATACAAGCAGGCTCTTCAGTCCTTCTGATTCACTGAAGCCAGCAGCAATATAACTAGCATTTTCCACACCTGTGGCAAATTTCACAAAACATGCCTAGGGCAAGCTTCAAAAAATGAGCCTGGGGCAAGAAGCATGAAAATTGCCCTGAAATTAACTTTTAAAGATTAATCCAGATATTGTCTATATTGGCAGGGAATGGGAGAGAGGCCTCAGGAGACAGAGAAGACTCTCCACAAGTGTTGAAGGAGATGATGGAGCTCACCTGAGATTTAAAAGATTGGCCATCTGGTAGTTTCCTATTTTTACAATGGCTTTCTAGTGAGCTAGATGCTAAACTTAGT